CCCTGAGGCCTCCCCGGGCATTGCATCCTTGTTTTCTTTGTCGAAGGGTCTGGTCCTTACGGTATCAGCTCATTCAGAAACAGGGGCTGCGCTCAAGGAGCCAAGCCGATGTCTTGACTCACTTAGCTTTCACAAGGACCTTTATCCCACAAAGTGGGATAATGCATGTTTAACGCAAGCGAAATTCGTGACATCTTCGTTGTTTCGTGATCGCTGCCGTGTTGTGCGGTGCGTGAGGTATAGCATAGCACGGCATGAAACGGACCACGCGGGAACCAACAGTAGAACCGTGGTGCTGCCCCTATGTTAGCACGCGTAGTTACAAGTTCCCGTGGTGCTGCCCCTATGTCAGCACGCGTAGTTACAAGTTCCCGTGGTGCTGCCCCTATGTCTGCACATGTGTCTCAAGATCTCTGGGGGCTTAGCGGCAACGCCGCCTCCAGGGATGGGTTGCAATGTATGTTGCACTCTAGGCCAGCAGCTTCAGGCCGACTTTCGCCGTAACGCTGCACTTTGGCTCAAGATGCGGAGTCTGGAGGAAAAAGACTCTTCCGCCCCAGGCGTGGTGAAGCGGAGGGCGGAGCCTCAGCGGCAACGCAGGGTTCCTCCTCCGCCTGGCCACGTCAGTGGGCACCCTCTTACGTTTGCACCTCCGCTACCCTCACAATCCCAATACTCGACACTCATTCCCCATCCCGCCAGCATTGGCACTTCATCTTCTCAAGCTCCTGAACGAGGGGACCGAGGTATCGGAGTTGGTGGAACTCGTCGAGACCACAGTGGGCCCGACCAGCCGGACCCGAAGAAATAAACAGAAGAAATGAACCCTTGGGGTGGACAATATGCGCACTACCCAGTGGGCGACCACGAGGGGCTCACAAGAGTTATGAGCCCAAGCCAACGACTTGGGGTTCATCATGCTACCTCATCGAGTACGGCATCCACATGGATGGTTGATTCGCACGTGCAAGTGCTGCGGGGACGTGGTCACAGGGCCAACTGTGCCTTGCCCGGCCTGCGGGCAGCAAGTGCACGGGCACTGCACTGTTGCACGTGCTGGGCACGCCGTCTGCACGGAGTGCGCGAACGAGATGGACATCGCGTTCGCCGCCACCAGGCCGCCCGCCGATTCCAACAGCATGGGATCGGGTTCGGACGGCTGATGTCCTCCAGTGGGCAATTGGCGGGCCAGGCGATCGGTTCGGTCGCTTCGGGCACGATCTCCGGCACTGCTCGGCTGGTGAGCGGCTGCGCAGCTGGGGCCAGGAGTGCTTGGACAGGAGCGCGCGCGGTGGAGCTCGTGCCGGAGACTGCCGCCGAGCCCCACGAGGCGCCAGCTGTGCTCCGCCCCAGGGCCCTCGAGGAGTACTACGACGCCTCGGAGGCAGGGAGCGCGAGCGCAGGAGCAGCAAGAGCAGCAACAGCGACTGCGGAGCTCATGACGGAGTTCCGCCGGATGCGGCAGGAGCTGAATGACCTCAAGGCCGAGAACCAGCGCCTTCGCGATGGTACCGCGGACGGTGCGGAAGGTGCGGGCCAGGAGGGACCAGGATTTGAAACGCCTAGCCAGAGGACGAATGACCAGACCTCGGCAGTGGCAGCGTCAGGTCAGGAGGAGGAGGAGATAGATAGGCTGCTCAGCATCGTGGGGGCCACGGTGGACCAGCAGGTGAGGCAGGAGAGTCGCCAGGACGATGGCGGTGCTGCGGCGGTTGAGCCCGCGGTGACGGCAGCTGAACAGACAGGAGGCTGCCAGGACAACCCCCCAGGCCTGGGAAGCATGGGCACGGCGCCCGCCAGGAGGCAGAAGGGAGGCGGAGGACCTTTTCCTCCTCATCTCGGAGCTCAAGGTGTTCAGGGCGATCTTCTTGGAGCTGCGGGCGTTGGAGGGCTCGGAGGAGTGGGAGGCCAAGGAGGAGAAGTTTTTGGACCACCCGGAGGCTGCGGAGGACATCCAGGAGGTCTAGGAGGAGAAGTTTTTGGACCACCCGGAGGCTGCGGAGGACATCCAGGAGGTCTAGGAGGAGTAGTTTTTGGACATCCTGGAGGCTGCGGAGGGCATCCAGGAGGTTTCGGAGGGCATCCGGGAGGCCGCGGAGGACATCCAGGCGGCTGTGGAGGACCAGGAGGACCAGGCGGAGGAGGCTTCGGGCCGCCCGCAGGCGCAGGAGGACCTGAGCGCCCCGATGGCTTTCCAGGAGCCCCTGGAGGAGGATCCCCGGGACCCCCTCCCCCGCCGCCACCTTTCGGCAGTGTTGCTGGACCCGCTGATGGCGGTGGCCCGCAGCGAGACGCGTCTCTGGAAAGCACGCTGGCCAAGTTGAAGGCCGCGGAGCTCCCGAAGTTGGAGTGGAAGGGAGGTGTCAAGGAGAAGCCGGGCATCTTCGAGAGCTGGCTTCAACGCATCACCATGGACCTCGGCGGCATGCACTACCTCATCGAGCGGTACTGGGAGAAGGTGCTGGAGGTCGTGCAGGACGCCTACATGAGCTATCTTCGGCATGGGCCGTTGGATCGCCCTGCGATTCGTCCTGCTCAGCCCCGTCAGTGGATTGATGCCGGGCTGGACGCTATAAATTTCAACAGTTGCGAGTTGAGGTTAAGAGGGATCTTGATGGCGTTGGTGCCAGATGGCGTCAGGCAGGCGTGCTTGAGCACGAGGCAGACGGCGACCACCGACATCGTCTTCGCCGCCTACGTGGACGCAGGCCCGGGGACAGGAACTGACAAGGACTTCACGCTGAACGCCGTGGACACGGCGAAGGAGGTGGATACGAGGCTGGTGTACGAGGAGTTGCAGAAATGGAAGTTCGCAGCGACTCGTCTTGCTCGGATGGGCGTGACGCCGCCGGACCCGAGTCGACAGCTGGCCTCGCTGAAGAAGATCGTCAACCGGATGCTCGAGAAGGACCAGGAGGTCAAGCACCGGTACTTTGCGTTCATCGTGAGCCGCAACATGACAGGAGGTCTCATCAGCCAGGCTCAAGTGGATGAGTTGTGGCGCTACCTGTCGGCCGAGGCTCGCGAGTTCGCCGGCGTTCGCCCTGATAAAGAGAAGTTGGACCCTGCTGCCAAGGCCGCCAGAGCGGAGGCAGCACGACTCGCTAGAGCCTCCAAGGGGGATCCGAAAGGAGGTAAAGGGGACCCCAAAGGAGGTAAGGGCGACCCGAAGGGCAAGGGCGACAAGGGCGGCAACGGCGGCAAGGCCAAGACCGACCAGAGCGCCTCCGGGAGCCCTCCCAAGAAGGTCTGCACGTTCTTCGAGACGGCCGAGGGCTGCTCGAAGGGGGCACTGTGCACGTTTGGCCACCGCAAGTTGGCCCCAAGCGATGGGAAGTGCTTCAACTGCGGTGCGACGGCTCACAAGTCGTCGGAGTGCACTCGGCCAAAGGCGGCGGCGAAGGCAGCGCAGGCCCCTCCCTCGAATGCCCAGGCGTCTTCCCCGACTCCAAAGACCCCGACGGGCACGGTCGAGCAGGTCGCGGCGCAGACGGCCCGAGCTGAAGCTCGCGCCGAGCTGTTGAGCCTGCTGCAGATGGGGGACGCGCTGCAGCCTCCATCGACCTCGCGGGCTGCTGTTGCCAGCGATTTCTGGGACTCGGTTCCGATGTCCCCGGAGGCCTCTCCGAGAACATCCCGCACGGGCGGCCCCGCTGCGAGGACAGTGAGCGTCCGCGCGAAGGTGATGACGGCCGGCGGCAAGCGGATGCTGCTGGCGGATACCGGAGCCACCCATGAACTTCGAGGGGTGCGGGACCTGACCGACGTTCACCCCCGAGCTCACGACGTGAGGCTGAAGACGGCCACCGGAGAGCAGCCCGCCAAGATGCACGAGGAGATCGTGTACGTGAAGGGCGAGGGCCTCCAGGGGCTGTTCCAGCTGGCAGCATACATCGAGCAGCTGGAGCTCGAGATGGTGTGGAACACCGCGGAGTGCAAGGTTCGCATGCGCGATGGTCGGGAGTTGCATCTTCATCGCGATGGCGGCTCGATCTATATCTCGGAGGAGGACGCCGACGTGCTCAGGACAGCGCGGCGTGCGCAGCAGAGGCACAATTTTCGAGCGAGGCTCGTCGCCTTGGCTCGCAACCTCCATGGGGCGGCCGAGCTTCAGAGGCACCGCGAGGAGGGGCACTTGAAGTTCCTCGCTTCGTGCAGGGTGTGCCGAGGAGCGGCAGGGCGTCTGAGGCAGCACTTCAGGCACGATGTCTCTACCAGACCTGGTGGCCAGCTGAGCGTTGACCTCTCGGGCCCTCACTTGCCAGAGAGGTGGCCCTCAGGGCGGCCAGAGGACGCCCCGAAGTAGGCCGTCCACTTCGTGCTGGGCGCCTTCTCGGTGATGAGCCAGACGGAGATGGAGGTGTTGCGGAAGCGCGAGGAGGATGCTAAGAGAGGTGTTGCTGCTGGAGGTGTTCTTCAGGACGAGGGGCAGAGAGCAGAGAGCAGTGGTGACTTAGCTGCGCGAGTTGCCGCCGCGTTCGGGGTGGATTCCTTGGACGGGCTCTGCTTGCCGGTGAACGCGGCGGCTGTGAGACCAGCGGCCGAGGAGGAGGAGGCAGCTGGCGACGCAGCCCCAGAGGGAGGAGGTAAAGCAGAGGAGAAGCAGGAGGAGGGGCAGCGCGAGGCCAAGAAGACGTGGTACTACGTGCTCCCGCTGGAGAACAAGCAGGCTTCGACTTGCATAAAGGCCCTCGAGCGCATCATCGCCCAGATCCACTCCGAGTTCGAGGGCGCGGACGTGGTGTACAGGATCCACGGGGACCGGGCGAGCGAACTCACAGGGGCGCTGTTGAAGGAGCACTTCGCCAAGAAAAAGGTGGTGGTAACATCCACGCCTGGCTTCGAGGCCGATGCAAACGGCCGCGCCGAGAAGGGAGTGGGCCTCGCGAAGCTGAGGGCTCGCGCAATGCTGTTGTCCTTCGAGAACGTGGAGGACCGCCAGGCTGCGTGGCCGATGGCAGTGCAGCATGCGGCATGGTGTAGCCGCATGGAGGCGCAGGGGCGCGAAGTGAGGTGTCCTGCATTTGGCGACCAGGTGACGTCTCGCGTCAAGGACGTGCCCCGGTCGATGATGTCCGAGAGGGCCGTGGAGAATATTTTCTTGGGCGTGGACGGCGAATCGCCCAACGCGTGGCTTGTTGGTCGCAAGAACGTAAAGCAGAAGCGACCAGAGCTCAAGTGGATCATCGAATCTTCCAGCTCATTTGTGAAAGTGCCCACGGAGGAGCTGGCGCGAGGAGGGGGGCCAGGAGATGCAGAGGAGAGCGAGGAGGCAACGAGGTCTGGAGGAGGACCGGCGGCAGCAGGAGATGAACGTGACGATCGTGAGGACGTTCTCGGGGAGGTGATGCCAAAGGACATCAGCTGCCCAGCGTGCAGAGGGCAGCATAGGAATCATACGAGGGACGAGCACTGTCGCCTCGGACCGCTCCTCCGAGACGCTGGCGGTGGAGGAGCTTTTGATCGTGGCGACGGTGATGCATACTCGTGCCCAGCTTGCCGAGGGCGTCATGTGGCTCACACTCGCGACCACCGTTGCCGACGAGGCCCAGGAGGTGCTGGAGCGGCTCGTGCGGCTTCGTCCCATGGCCTTCCTGTCAGCCTTCTGGTACATCATGATGTTCTTCGAGATCGCGTTCCGTTCGCGAGCGCTGCCGAGACGAAGCTCGACGACGACGACGACGACGAGATGCCCCTTGAGTACCAGGAGATCGTAAAGGACGGCGGGGCGCAGGTGAAGAGCCAGAAGTCGGTGAACGCCAGCTTCGGCGAGGAGCGCGAGGGCTGGAGACAGGCGCTCCAGGAAGAGCTGGACTCGTTGCGGGAGAAGGACGTGTTCTGGCCCCTCGGTGCTCGAGAGCGCGGTGGCCTCCGTGCCCAGGGCATACTGCCGATGTCGACGGTGTTCGCCAAGAAGCCTCCTGACGAGGCCGGTCTCCGGAGGAAGCGTGCACGAGCAGTGGCATGTGGAAACTTTCAGCCGGTCGTGGGCGAGAAGGAGCTCTACACCGCGAGTGTCGACATCGGATCGTTGCGGGCGTCCCTCGCCCTGGCTGCGACGAGCGGGTGGCACGTCGGAGCTCTCGACGTCAAAACGGCATTCCTCAACGCCGACCTCCCCGTCGACCACAGGGAGATCTTCGTGAAGCCGCCGGCAGCTTTCGTGAGGTTCGGCCTGGTGCCTCCCGGGGAAGTGTGGCGAGCCCAGAAAGCGATCTATGGGCTCCGGGCATCGCCCCGAGCATTGGCTGAGAAGCGGGACCACGAGCTCCTGAAGATGACGGTTGAGCTCGATGGCCGCCGATGCCGGCTGCAGCAGTCGTCTGCCGACCCAGCTGTTTGGGCGGCTCGCGACCAGGAGACCGACGAGACGTTAGGCCTCCTCCTCGTGTCCGTGGACGACTTCATTCCAATGGGCCCGAAGGGCTTGGTTGAGGCCCTCAATGCTGCAGTGTCGGAGGTTTGGGCCACGAAGCTCCAGGGAGTTTTTGGGCCGTCGGAGCCTGGCGTGCTCAAGTACCTCAGCGTCGACATCAACGTTGGCCGCGAGGGGATTTCTCTGTCGCAGTGCGAATACACCGAAGACATGCTCCAGAAATGGGGCCTCGGCGCATGCACGCCGACCGGAGGCCTCAACCTCGAGCGCGAGTCTTTCGAGAACTTCGAGGACGACGCGGACGACCCCCCAGAGACGGGCCAAGTCCGGCTAGCCCAGAGGACGGCTGGAGGCCTCCTGTGGCTGGCATCGCGAACTCGGCCAGACATTTCTTTCGCTGTCAGTAGGGCCGCTGCGTTGTCCACCAGGCGCCCCGCCGAGGCCCTCATGATAGGCAAGCGGGTCCTTCGATACCTGGCTGGCACCCGTGGCTTCGGTCTGTTTTACGCGGCGGGCAGCGCGGGTGACACCGAGGAGTCCGACAAGATTGCGCTCAAGGTCTACACCGATGCTTCGATGGAGGAGGCCAGCGCCCAGAGCGGGGTGGTGGCCACCATGTTCGGCCAGGTCGTGGATTGGAGGAGCACCCGCCAGGCGGTGGGGCCACTCAGCACCGCCGAGGCGGAAGTCGAAGCAATTGCGGTCGGGGAGAGGATGCTGGGAGCTACGACGGCTACCTTGGAGTCGCTGGGATTCCCAGTGTCGCCGGAGATGCTCGGCGACAACACGGCTGCGAACTTGGCGTCGTCAGGGCAGGGGTCGTGGAGGACCAGGTCTCTGACTACAAAAGTGCACGCGGTGCGCTCGCGCGTGCAGAGAGGTTTGCTGAAGATTACTCAGGTAGGCACCGCTGACCAGCGCGCCGATGGGTTGACCAAGTCAGGCGGCCCGAAGGCGATGTCAACTTTCAGGTCACACCTCGGGCTGCGCTCCGTAGTGTGATGGTCCCCGCGATCCCGCGACCTAAGGCTGGTTTGGGCCCTGGTCGCGAAGGCTCCGTGTCCGACGAGGACCAGCACGGAGAGGAGGAGCGTGAATCGGGGGATCTCCGGACATATCCGCCACACGCGTCGGGAGCAGCAGCATTCAGCTAGCCGCTTGGCACGGTATGTAATATATACATATTTTTGGGGTGGCCTCCCCTGAGGCCTCCCCGGGCATTGCATCCTTGTTTTCTTTGTCGAAGGGTCTGGTCCTTACGGTATCAGCTCATCCAGAAACAGGGGCTGCGCTCAAGGAGCCAAGCCGATGTCTTGACTCACTTAGCTTTCACAAGGACCTTTATCCCACAAAGTGGGATAACGCATGTTTAATGCAAACGAAATTCGTGACATGTTCGTTGTTTCGTGTTCGCTGCCGTGCTGTGCGGTGCGTGAGGTATAGCATAGCACGGCATGAAACGGACCACGCGGGAACCAACAGTAGAATCGTGGTGCTGCCCCTATGTTAGCACGCGTAGTTACAAGTTCCCGTGGTGCTGCCCCTATGTCAGCACGCGTAGTTACAAGTTCCCGTGGTGCTGCTCCTATGTCTGAACATGTGTCTCAAGATCTCTGGGGGCTTAGCGGCAACGCCGCCTCCAGGGATGGGTTGCAATGTATTTTGCACTCTAGGTCAGCAGCTTCAGGCCGACTTTCGCCGTAACGCTGCACTTTGGCTCAAGATGCGGAGTCTGGAGGAAAAAGACTCTTCCGCCCCAGGCGTGGTGAAGCGGAGGGCGGTGCCTCAGCGGCAACGCAGGCTCCTCCTCCGCCTAGCCACGTCAGTGGGCACCCTCTTACGTTTGCACCTCCGCTACCCTCACAATCCCAATACTCGACACTCATTCCCCATCCCGCCAGCATTGGCACTTCATCTTCTCAAGCTCCTGAACGAGGGGACCGAGGTATCGGAGTTGGTGGAACTCGTCGAGACCACAGTGGGCCCGACCAGCCGGACCCGAAGCAAGAAACAGAAGAAATGAACCCTTGGGGTGGACAATACCCTGCGTACTACCCAGTGGGCGACCACGAGGGGCTCACAAGCCCACCCCCTCCCCCTCCCCCTCCCCCTCCCCCTTCCCCCTTCCCCCTTCGCCTCCTCCGTCTCCTCCGTCTCCTCAGTCTCCTCCTCCTCCTCCTCCTCCTCCTCCTCCTCCTCCGCCTCCGCCTCCGCCTCCGCCCTCGCCTCCGCCTCCTCCTCCCCCTCCCCCTCCTCCACCTCCTCATCCTCCCTCCTCCTCCTCCTCCTCCTCCTCCTCCTCCTCCTCCTCCTCCTCCTCCTCCCTCCTCCTCCTCCTCCTCCTCCTCCTCCTCCTCCTCCCCCCCTCCCTCCCCTCCCCCTCCGCCTCCCCCTCCGTCCTGACGGGGAGGCGCGGCGGCAAGGGGGCAGGGCGGCGCCGCCTGTGCGCGGTGCTCCGGACCCAGCGGCGCACCATGATGGCGAACGCCTCCACAGTACGAGGCCAGTACCAGGCAAAATCGGACCAAGAGAAGTCTGCGATCTAGGAAATCCAGCGGGAGCTCTGGAGGATGGGTCGGGCGCCGCGGCCGTTCCAGAGCGCTCCGAGAGCGTCCCGGAACGCTCTGAAACCATGTGTCCAGGTCCTGGACCCGTCCGACCCCACACGTGGCCTCGCTCTCCCCGCATCCTCTAGGTAACGTGGGGTGCAATATGGCGACCTCGATCCCTGACTTTGTGTGGGGCCTCCGACCAGACAAGACATTTGGGGCCAAACTCGGGACATACGAGAGGGGGAGGCCAATCTTCGATAGGGGTGCGTCCGAGAACCCTGTTGGGATGTACCCCCGAACTGCCCGTCTTTTCGGAACGGCCTGGTTCCCAACCGTCATGAGGTGTTGGGTATGGGTCCGTGTTTTGCAGAGACACTCCGCTTCCCTCCTCCTTCCCTCCTCCCATACCCTCCTTCCTTCCTTCCTTCCTCCTCCTCCCTCCTTCCCTCCCTCCTTCCTTCCTTACTTCCTCCTTCCCTCCTTCCTTCCTTCCTTCCTCCCCTCCTCCCCTCCCTCCTCCTTCCCTCCTTCCTCCTTCTTCCTCCTTCCCTCCCTTCCTCCCTCCTCCGCCTCCCTCCTCCATGGGTACTTCCTTCCCTCCTTCCGTCCTTCCTCCTCCTCCCTCCTCCCGTACCTGCCTCTAGTTACCCTCCGCAGGTCAATTTCAGCGTTTTCTTACACGTTTCGTAGCCCCACAGGGGGCTCAATCTAAGGCCCAACAGTTTCCGTTCGCATGCCTGGTCCACGCAAGTTTGGCGCACCCCTCACACGTTTCGTGGCCCCATACGAAGCTCCACCTAAGACCCAAGAATTCTAGTCCACATGCCTAGTCCACACCAATGCGGCGAACAATTACACGCTTCGTATAGCCTGCGTGCGCATGCCTGGTCCACACCATTTCGGCGCACCCCTCAAACGTTTCGTGGCCCCATATGAAGCTCCACCGAAGGCTGAAAAATCTGTGTCCGCATGCCTCGTCCATGCCATGTCGGCGCACCCCTCACATGTTTCGTGGCCCCAGAGGGAGCTCCACCCAAGGCGCAAAAATCAGAGTCCGTATGCCTGGTCCACGCCATTCCGGCGCACTCGTCACACGTTTTGTGGCCCCATACGAAGCTCCACCTGAGGCCTAAAAAGCTGCGTTCGCATGCCTGATCCACACCATGTCGGCTCAAATGTTTTGTGGCCCCATCAGGAGCTCCACATAAGGCACAACAATATGCGTCCGTATGTCTGGTCCACGCCATTCCGGCGCATCCCTCACACGTTTCGCGGCCCCAGCGGAGCGCCACCTGGGACAACAGTGGCGGCGTTCTTATGCCTAGTCCGCACCACATTGGCGTGCCACTCACACGCTTGCTGGCTCCAAAGGGAGCTCCATCTAAGGCCCATAGGGAACTCCACCTGAGGCCCCACTGGCCGTGTTAACATGCCTGGTCCACACAATGTCGGCGAGCCCGTCACAAGTGTCGTGGCCCCATCGGGAGCTCCACCTGAGGCCCCAATGGCTGCCTTCGCATGCTTCCTCCAGACCGTTTCGGCGCACCACTCGCACGTTGCGCGGCCCCACAAGGAGCTCCACCTGAGACCCCAGTGGCTGCGTCCGCGTGCCTCGTCCACATCGTGCCGTCACACCCCTCACACGCCTCGTGGCCCCATAGGGAGCTAGGGCGCTCCACCGAAGGGCCCAATGGCAAGAATCGCATGCGTGACCGCGCCCATCTCGGCACACCCCTCACACGCTTCATGGTCCCATAGGGACAGAGCCGCACACATTTCGGTACAGTCCTCACGCACTTCGTGGCCCCGTAAGGAAGCTCCAACCAACGCCCCGCCGCATGCTGCCCCCCCCCCCCCCCCGCGGCCGCGCCGACAGACGCGCAGACCATCCGTAACAAATTGCATCTAGATGCAACCCTCTACGGTCGACCTCTGCGATCGCATCAGCAACGTCGCTCCGTCTCTCCTGCGCACGTCTCAGTTCTTGTGCTAGCCCCTTCCCCCAAATTTCCACCTGTCATGCGGTACCCGCAGCTGCATCCAGTTGGGTCCTTCGCCATGCTATCTCTCAGGGGAGGTACTCTGAGATCGGGGGCAGGGCATCACCTGCGATCCTCCACCTCCCAGGAAGGGGGCCGGACAATCAGGATCGAGCGTTGGGGATCGCATTTATCGGGGGCGTTGCTTGTTCGGTTCTGCTCCGGTCTTCCAGGGGCTTCCATAGAGGCGCCCTGGGGACCTCGGCAGCTAGAGGGAGTGCAGAACAGAGAATGAGGAAATCGAGCGAGCGGTTGAGGCCGATGATGATGCTGCTGCTGATGACGAAGCTGATGAACATTAGGAGTGTGACGATGAGGATGATCACGATGATGGTGGCGACGATGATGCTGCTGATGAAGTTGAATTTGATGATGAATACTAGGAGGATGAGGAGGTTCGAATGAGGGCGTTCTGTGCCATGTCTGAATCGACCTCGATCTTATACCTCCCTCGGTCTGGCTGTCTACCCGACCACCCCAACCCAACCCGAAGACCCGAATTTGACCCATATTTCGGGTTGGGGGGTACGGGTTCCGTGTGTTTTTTCAATGTTCCCCGACCCCCCCCCCACTGGAAATGGAGGGCTAATTAGGGCCTTCGGGTTGGGTCGGGGTGGTTTGGTGGGTGGTGACGGTCTGGCTGTCTGGGTGTGTGTGTGTGTGTGTTGTTCCTTCGCCAGTGCGACGGAGTCTTTCGATTCATCCTGCGGCCGTTGGGCACCCCGTGGCTGTGCTGTCCGGCCTGCACCGGGCCAGGAGGAGGGCGGGGCGACGACGGCGCCCTGCCTCTGGTGAGGCGGGGCCTGTTGCGTCATGCGAGGAAGAAAGAATCGCCGATTCATGCAGGCGGGACAACAAGCACATTAGGCCGCGGACGGGTGCAGGACCGGCAATTCGAAGAGAAATGGCACAGAACAGTGGCCATCAAGGGCTAGGGTAGCCCAGTCCGCGGCGACAGGTGGGGCGATTGCTGCTCCTCTTCCTCCTCCGCGTCCCCGCCCGTTCGTGCGCCTTTCGTCCACCTGTTGGGCCTTTGGGGGCAGTTCAGGGGGCCATCTGAAGCCATTTGGGGCAGCTCTTCTGCAATCCTCCATTCCCCCACGTTTACTGCGCCACCCCTCCGACATCCGCCTGTGTGTTGTTCTCAATCCGTTGCCCCAGAAGTCCCGCCCGCTGACATTGTGACACGTTCTCGCCCTGGAACACATGTGTTGATGGTCCATAGGCCTGATACTGGATCCCAGGGGCCGAAGTCAAAAAAACGCGCCCGGATAGAACACACACATACCGTCGGCAAACAAAAAAGGTTCTCATGCCGTAGCTCGGCTGTCTGGCGGCCGTCCGGGACGATCTGGGCACCCCTGGGAAGCATTCGGCGAGGCGAAGCTGGGGAAACCAAAAGGTACCGATA